AAACCATTATGCTAATCATGAAAACCATTACAATAACTCGATAGAGGATGTCCCCAACCAATGGGATGGGAAGATCAAAGAGGTGCAAAAACAAATTGGTGATGCCCTCAACGCCATCAAGGCACAAGCACCCGAGACGGTGTACTACTTGGTAAGGCGCACTGATATCCCATTCGTTGCAGATGTTGTCAAATACCCCTTACCCTCGAAGTTCAAGATGCTTGCCATCGAGATCTTCGATGGTACCAAAAACCATTTGGATCATCTCTACACATATAAATCTATTATGCAACTCCACAACGTGCCTAATGAGGTTATGTGAAAAGTCTTCCCTACTACCCTCAAGGGATCCACACGTTAGTGGTTCGCCAAGCTCAAGCCTTCTTCCATCCACTCCTTTTCGGAGTTAAGCATGTCTTTCGTCTCCCACTTCATTGGGGGATGCCGACACTAAAAATCGATTATCCACCTGCTCACCATCAAGCAGGATTGGGATGAAAGCCTTAGGAACTACCTCACTTGTTTTAACGAGGAAGCTCTCAAGATCTAGAAGCTAGACGACAAGGTGACCATGACTGCCTTTATTCCAGTTTCATGTTTTCTATCCTAAAAAAACTACCATCCAGTATGTCCGAGTTGCTGTCAAAGGCATAGAAATACATGAATGCTGAGGATGTCACCAAGGCCTATCGAGGTGAGTCTTCACAAAGAGGGGAGAATATGAAGGACATTTGCGAAGACAAGTGGGAGGTAAAGAACAAGAGAAAGAGAATCGAGAGAGTCTTTGTTAAGGACCGTCTCGATCTTGTACCCCGAGAGAACGACTGCCATTCACACCACTTAACGCCTCAGTGGAGCACATCCTATTCCAAATACAGGATGACCCTATGCTCCGTCGGCCCGAAAAAATGAAGTCTGCTCAAACCGTAGAAATTCCAGCAGGTACTGTCATTTCCATCGCCACCATGGCCACGACATTGATGACTGCTATGAGCTCAAGAGACAGATTGAGGAGCTCATACAGCGTGGTCAGTTGAGGTAGTACGTTGCTGGCAGAGGACAAACCCCGTCACCTGGCCGAGACTAGGACAATGGAGAATGCCAACAACTCCTCAGAGAAGTCCAGACAATCTACTAAGGTCTAGGAGGAAGAGGTGACTCCAACTCCACCAGGAAAGTCTTGGCCCACCTATGGGATACTGAACACTTGAAGATTTTATCTATCATTTATTGTTTCAGTTGATTAAGTTTTTTATTTATTATTTTATGAAATAAATTTTGCGAAGATTATTGTGTCCATAACTGTCTTGCTTTCATTTCATAAAGTTTGTAAACAACTTACAAAATTTAGAACATGACCTAAAAACAAGGTAGACAAAAAGACAAAAATTGTCATATTCCTGACGATCAGTTACTACTCCTCGAGCCACTACCATCAAGGCTCTTTCTATCATCGTCTACCCCTGGCCCTCACAACAACCTCCCTTCTCGTCTCTATCTCAATGGAAAGAGTCTCTACTACGGAAACCCTCTCCCAAGCTATGCGTAGCTTGGCCTTAGCTTTGACGGCCCTCTCATGGGGCGTTTGTAGCTTTGACTCTATTCTCACACAAACAGTTGATGAACAATAATATTGCATATTTGAAGGCCTTATTACATGCATTTTAGCTCAACTTTTGCATTTAAGTACTTAGAGTTAGCCAAAGTTGTCAATAATGTTGAATTTTCGATGTTGCAGGTCATTATAGCATAAATGATGGATTTTAGAACCTTGCAACTATGTGTGGATGTGTGGTGAAGATATGGACACATTACATGAGGATTTTGAGGCTTAAAAGTGAAAGAAATCAAGGAGGTATTGGTGTTTGGTAACATAGGCATCAGCACCCACACCATTTTGTAGTAGTACCTATGTTTTCCTCTTTTTTGACCATAAGTTGCTTCGAATCTGAAAAAGTTCCAAACATGAAAGTTGTAGATCTGGATGTCTTTTGTATTGTGTCAAAATTTTAGCTCAATTGGACAGTTAAATCCAAAGTTATGATAATTTTATGAAAACTGGTCCGCAGTAGAAACAGTACCGGTATGTAGTACCAGTACGGTTCTGCCTCTGGAGTTTGGGGTACCGGTACACAGTACCTGTACCATTTGCTGAACAGACCAAAACACCTACAAACCATGCTCCACTTGCTTGGGGGTCCCACCATTGATTCCCCCACTTGTCCCCTGACATCCCTTACACATTTACATGATTCTTACACCTTTGTGGAAGACTTTGAAGGCAATGGTATTAATGGGGATGGGAGAGAAGGGGACAACCAGGAGAGTTGCAGGCTAGGCTTGTCTTTACCTGTGCAAGCCATCAACTCACCTCCTATTGATGGGAGGCCTGCACACTCATGCTAGAGGCCTCTATGGACGAAAATGTAGAGGCTCTTCACCATATATTCAGCATTTACCAAGCATTGAAGTGTGGCTACCTAAGCTTAGGAGTAGTTCAAGGAAGAAGATGATGAATAGTGCTAGAGAGATAAAATTAATGTTTTTGCATTTTCTTCACCCAATTCATTGCAGTAAGTTGTAGTTCTCTTGTAATCTTTATTTCTTGCATTGTAATCTCTTTTAATTCTAGTGTAATCAAGTTTAATTCAATGTTCTTGCATTTCCATAATCTTTGCTAGGTTTAAATTTATTCTCTGCAACTTTTCCATTTTAGTGTTAAATGAACTTCTCTTTGTAGTTTATCATTTCCTAGCATTAATACAAGTTCTAAATTTCATTTTCATTTTCATTTCAATACCATGTCTCTTTACAACATGTATGTCTTTCACTTTATCATGAGTAGTTAGATTTTAAGTTGGCTAATCCAAGGGAGACCTCTTCTTGGGCATGCCATTCCAACTCATGTTCTTTCCTCCTCTCGGTGTACGATGGTTTGAATTGACTGGGTTGGGGTGAGGACATGGTTGTGAGTTCTTGATACATCGTAGGCCTGGTCACGGTGTATGTTTGAATCCTCACCTCCATTTTAGTCTAGAGCTTCCCACGAATCAATTGTTCATCTATGCACCATAGGAGGAAGGTTTTGAGTTGATTTGGTATTTCCATTGGAATGAACTCTTAGGATTAGCCAACACTTGCTTTCTTGCATTTTCAATAAGAACAAAACTCACCAAAACCAACTACAAGATTTCACATTTTCCTTTTTCACAAAATCACCTTCACACACTTGAACTTTCCTTCCCTGAGGAGACGACTTTGAAATATTTTTTCAAGTAAAACACAAAATTCAAAAGACTCCTTGCACTTGGGGAGCACTTTTGTTCACAACATTACACACATTTTGTACATTTCATATTCCACCATTTCGTTGCCCTTTTTTCCCCATCATTTTGAGGGAGAATGACACTTCCCCATTCCTATAAGCCATACACATTGAGGGATGATGTTAGGAGGCTAGGGAATACAACAGAAAATAACCAAGCAACAGTTATCTTATCAATATCCAGCTTTGTGCTCTCTCGCAAGTTGCCAAGAAGCTCGACCTAATCCAACCTTTGCTCCCAAGCAATCTATGTATCCAGCTTCGCACTCTCTTAGAGTTGCCAAGAAGCCCGACCTTATCTTACCTCTGCTCCCAAGCAGTCTATGTATCCAACTTTGTGCTCTCTCGCGAGTCACCAAGAAGCTCAGCCTTATCTTACCTCTGCTCCCAAGTAGTCTATGTATCCAGCTTCGCACTCTATCGTGAGTCACCAAGAAGTTTGGCCTAAACCAACCTCTGCTTGTAAACAATCTATGTATCCAGCTTCACACTTTTTTGCGAGTCAAAAAGAAGCTCGACCTAAACATATCTCTGTTCCCAAAGAGTCTATGTATCCAGCTCCGCGCTCTCTCGCGAGTCGCCAAGAATCTCAGCCTGATCTTATCTTTGCTCCTGAGCAGCTTCAATCTCCAACGTAGCGCCTCTCTCATGTGTCGCCAAAAGTTCAGTCTCAAGAGGTGTTACTCTCTCATGAGCCAACCTCAACTGCTCTCAGCAGCCCCCGTGTCTGCCTCTTTGTCACCAGATGCTTGAATGCTTCTCTAAGCTTGATCATCCTTGAAAAAGTTAGGGATAAGTGGCAACTGCCTACAAGCATTCAAAAAGCAGAACATGAAGGAAAGGAGGCGAGTACAAAATCAAAGTTGAGAAGAGAGGCATACCATGGAAGACCCTTCCATCGTGGTATTGGTAATGCCCCTTGGACCTTGAGATCCAACCTCTCTGATATCCCTGAGTTACAGACCTCCAAAGCCATTCCTTGATCAAAGTCAAGTCAAAATATGGACACTGAGCCACTACTAGAAGCAAAACAACTATGTGGAGCTATAGTCCTCATAGGAGATAACACAAGGGCTGGCTTTAGTACACACAGAAGTCCCAGTCCGGGAAGGAGTGGAGGCACCATTGGATCCCGCTCTTAGGAAACAACCTGGACATCAAACCTTGGCCAAAAAGCACTGGGCCATCAAACCTCACCCTCTTGAGAAGAGGGGAAGACGTTGTCCTAGAAGCATAGAGAACCTTCACCTCTATCGTCGCTCTTTCAATGAGAGTGCCTGTAATTAGAGACAACGTTAAGAACCGGCATAGCTAAAAGTCATCATAGTCTCGCTCTCTGGCAAAAACACAGAACACCATCCTGTTGCCTATGAATGCCTAACAACTGTCTGCCAGAACGCAGCTTCCCACAACCGTTGGTTTCACTAATTTGTGTTTAAAACTCAAGTTTAGAGAGATAGAAGCATTTTTTTGGAGAAATTGGGTGACCAAACTATATGTCGTAGATCTTGAAAAAATACCCAAATTCAAAAAAACAAATTGCCTTAAACAGACAACCAAGCGCAAAATTATGGTTGTTTGAAGTTTTGTCGTGCCAGCACCCGTGCCAAGCGCCTCAGGCATCGCCCAGCTGTCCAAGGGCATCATCTAACTTCCCAGGTGTGTCAACCTAGCCCTATTCAGCGTCGTCTTCCATGAGCTCACTGCCTTCAGACATGTTGTGGGCACTGACCCCGTGCTCGTAACCCGAAGAGCCGTTGCCTACATCGATGCCTGTGCCTAGGGTGCTGCCTCTAATGAAGCCAATGCCTTCTCCTAGGTGCCTTCCTCTTGGGCGCCTCCCTCCTGGGTGCTTCCCTCTTGGGCGCCTCCCCTTGGTCGCATCTCCTTTGGGTGCCTCTCCCTTGGGCACCTCCCTCTTGGGCGCCTTCTTCTTGACCCTTCCTCCTTGGGCGCCTCCCACTTTGGTGCCTCCCTCTTCGGTGTCTCTAGTAATCCAACATCTTCTGTTATCAAGGGCATCCCCCATGGAGCTGGCGCCACCTAGCACCTGGGTTCCAAATGACAAGGATGCAATGGTGTCGCTCTCCACTCTGACAGCGCTGTCACTCACCATTCCTTCGTATCTCAAGTCATGGTTGTGGTTATTTATGGTGTCACCATCAGCACTAGGGACGCTAACCTTGCTGCCTTTTTTGACCATGCCAGCGATGGCTCATTCTATGTCGCCGATCTGCCCTCCGATTTAATTAGGATTGAGGAGTTCTATGGTACTAGCCTTGGGGTTTCCCATGGATTTACCTAGCTTTGAGGGTCCAACATAGAAGGTGATCGTCATTGTCATGATGATACAAGATGGGGAAAGAATTTTTGTAGAAACAGGGAAGATAAAGAAGCTACCGTGCAGCACAAGAAACTAAAAGCTCAGTTATGCTCTCAACCCCCTTCTCTCGCAAGCAATTGGGGCTTAGGGCATGGGGGCAAATGATAAGCCCAAATCCAACTGGGCTAGGCCCAATAAACCAAGTAAGCTCAAGTTAGCTAAAAGGAAGGTCAAACCTAGTTCGTTAATCCTACCCAGTCCAAAACCCAAGAAGCCCATGAAGAAAAGAGCACATGGGGAGAGATTATCGGGATACTCACTCTTGAAGATCAAGGCTATCATAATTGTACTTACCTTTTGTAACTATCCTCTCTGAAGAATTAGTGCCTTCATAATCATGTCATCGCTTCACCATGCCTATAAATTGTTAGTCCTCTCCACATGAGAGGACACATCTTAGCATCTCACTACACCTTGAGCTTTGTCTCTACACCTCTCTATGCACACATAGCTTCTCTTTCCTAGCTATTGTACCTCTCCTTGAGCACTCCTCTCCTAGAGCTCTCTTTCTTACTTTGTTCATCAATAAAGACTCCCGACCACCGTCGGTGTTTCTCGAGAGTAGAGTAGGTCACTCAGACCGTATCACTATATATCTGTGTGTTGACATAATATTTACTATTTTGCCATTGGTTGCTTTATTTAGTTTCTATTAATTACACCTTATCACACACTTGACTGTTGATCTTGGACGAGACTATTTTGTGCATCATTAATCTCCATAACTATCAAATTTGGAGAACATACCTCACCAATCAAGAAAGTAAAAAGAGCGTTGGCACTCTTAAAGTAGTGATTGAATCTCACCTAGATCGAACATTAGCATGTCATTGAATTTTTGAAATAATGTCATTAGTGGAAGTATTAGAGCAATCACGCCTTCACAAATCTTGCTCACTCAACAGGGGGAGATTATTCATCACTTTAATGATCATCAACTAGTTCCATATTTTTATGGAGGTGGGAAACATCGCAGGGGCTTGTTGACATCACTTAAAGATTTCAAAATGGTAAAGAGCATTGAAGATAAAACATGGATCAATTCCAGCCACTTTGTCATTGCAATAACAACATTCACGCCAACGAACAACTAATTATGCAAAACACAGATCATTCACTGCAATTCCTCTCTTTGATTAGCCTAAAATGGGTAATCATAAGGACCTTCAATTTGCAAAAAATAAGTGGTCGGTATCTCTTAGCAAAAAGTCTACAACCTTTCAATACTCTTATATAGTCTATGAAGAACATGGTGTCAACCAAAGTTATTCAGTCCTAGCATGACATACATTAAGAAGATGAATTTGTGATTTCATTCCATCCTACCTCCTCAACTTCAAATAGGGAGGAGTACCTCATATTGAGCAAGATAAAGTAGTGCAAAGTGGAACACCATCATCAATCATGACGCTTGGTGTCACCACATCATCAAGAATTCTCCTAGCTATTAGAGGTTTGATCTTAGTTTGAAAATTGACCACTAAGGGTTAAGATTACGTGAACATGAAGAAGCATTGAATATGGGCCAAGCGAAACCAACCTTAACATATTATTTCTTGATGTTTCCAAAGAGCTAACCGTGTAGTGGAATACAATATATAGAGAACATATAGCACCATAATGAGCCCTGTGGGACAACTTGAGGATTCCTTAATAAAAGGAAAATAACTAGAAGAGTGACCAAAATTGTGGTACTCTGTCAAATATAATTTACAGGTGGGCATTGAAGTGCTAAACTTGCATATATGTCTACTGATGTTTGTGCACAATATAGTACACCAAGGTTGAGGAAGATTTGGGTCGTACAAAGCTCACCTACCCTCAAGTCATACGATAATCAACAATAACTACAAGTCCAATTAAGAAGCGTAAATTGAGATACTCTAGTTAGACCAAAGAGGTCAGTTAATGAAATATGAGCCAAACAAAGCTAATTTCTTAAGAAGAGAAGCAAAATGGACACTTCTAGTAGTAGACATTGATATGACATTGAGACTTGGGGGGCATAACCTTCACTGAGTAAAATGATATAAGTTGACATATGGGTCTGTATCCTCTTATATATGATATGCCCAAGTATTTGATTTAGGTTGATTAATGTAGTATCACAACCACGGAGTACCTTCAAAAATCAAATAAGATTGAGCTAATATTTTTGTGGAGTACTTGTCACACGAAAGATGCCTAAAAATGTAGTACTTCCCGTGAGTAAATAAGATTGAGCTGTATGACTAATCTTTGTGGAGTACCTACCACATGAGAGATGCACAACATCACCATGGAGTACCTCTAGTGAACAAATAGGATTAAGCTTTAGAGCTAAGCCTTTGGTGGAGTAGCTTGCCATATGAAAAACCTAGCTATCACTTGGGCAACCAACTCTAAGATGGGAGGTGACATTCATTTGCGACCTACCCGTAAATGCAGAATCTAGAGACATAAAGCTAGGCAGATGTACAACACAAGTAAGGGCACATAGTCAACCACGTACGCCTTTGCCAAAGCAAAGGAAAAATACCTAAGAATAAAGTTCTAGGCAAAAGACCTAGGGAGTCTTGGGCACAATTCAACCTACTGCTCAGGCAAGGAGGAAAAAATCCTAATAGAGGTAGAGACCTAACTCAGGTGCAGCCACTCAATCAAACTTAGGCCCAAGGTTAGGCACAACGGTGCAAGCCAAATGGGTAAAGATTTGAGATTAATTAGATTGGCAGGTCAGTGAAGGCCTAAACCCTTCATTAAGGTAGGTTCTCTTCACTAAAGGATGGGGGAGCATTATTCGAATTTTTTCTAAGTATAATAGCTTGAGCCCTTCACCAAGGAAGAATCTTTTTGCTAGGGGAAGGGGAAAATCATACATACAAAAGTTATGGCTAAAAAAGAATCCCGTTGTGAACATGACATTTGTTAGAGGGTCATATGAGCTCAAAGAGTGAGGAAACATGATAGACTAGAATGACTCCAGTAAAAAAGGGAGTTGATTCTTGAACGCCAAATTAAAAATATGACAGTTAGAAAGAACGAGAAGACTGGTGCTAGCCCTTGAAATACACGGGACACTAATCGTAATACTTAGCACTAAATTTTTGGTAGACTACCTTACATATAGAGTTAAGGGCCAAGCAACCAAGATGTCGGCTAATGGTGCGAGTCGTAAAGATGATTAGCACTGCAACTTTGACCACATTTGACCAATACATTTCCATGAGGGAAAAAGCTCGTAAAAAACTAAATGAAAGGTTTCAAAGTACCTTTGATCCTAATGTAACAATTGTACAAGTGTATGTGGTGAATAAGAGATTAAATGAAACCGTTTGGACAGACATAACGTTCCTGGCTGAGCTAACGTGGGTCCTAATTAATCATAAAAAATGTTATTTTATTATATTTAATAATTAATTATTATTTATGATTAAATGTGTTAGATTTCTTGATTTTCTAGTTTGATACTTTTTCTAGTTGTTGGATTTATTTTGCAGGTAATTTGATTGATTTAAAATAATAATGGATAATGCAAGTGAACCAAACACTAGAAGAAAAATCACAGCTGATATAGATTGAAGAGTCAAGATTAGGAGATGAAAATTTGAAGATAAGATAGCAATTTAATCCTTATGAGATTCCAAATTGATTGAAAACTCATTTAGAATTGGATTAGGAAAATATTCTGGAAGATAAGGTTTTGATACGTTTTTAGTAATTTGATCATAACTTTTTATCACGATATCTGATTGACCTGATTCTTGTGAAGTTGGAAAGAAGACTTCAAGACCTACAAAATTGTAATCCATGAACATATAAATGGGCCTCTAACTATGCAAAAATTTGAGTTCGAAGTCTAGACAAATATGGTACCTGCACCCATAAGATTTGATGTACGAGATTTGACCTAAAAAGACTTATTTTTGGAAAGAGATTTTGCTCATGCTGTAACGCCCCAAAACACACCCTGGATGACATTACATTCTAAAATCATTCATATCATGAGAACACTAATATAATCCTTAAGAAACAAGACTTTATTTGTCATCCACGAATATTTACAACATTATCCAAAAGAATAAGCCCAAGTCATGACTATTACATCTCAAAAATTAATTAAGGAAGCGCATCAGAATAAACAAAAGAAGCTAGACTACACAATGTTCCAAAAGAATGTCCTAGTCTAGTACAAAAGGAAAGGAGGTTGCTCTATGCGTCCACCTTGGGATTCACACTCCCGTCCCGTGGAGTCTTCTAAGTAGCAGGCTCCTCGACCCTTACGTCCTCCTCCTCAAGCGGGTAAGCTAAAAAATGTTAGCGATAGGGGGTGAGCACGAAGCTCTGTAGAAACATTCTCCCAAACCCATACAAGATTTAGAAAAGTATTTAAAACGGTCGGTCTCAATTTTAACATAACATAGATACATAATTTGAAATAAAGCAGTGACATTTAAAAAAGATCTCAAATTTATTTAAAAATATTACTTAAATGAATAAATGAGCACCACAAACAAATAATAACCATTAATTGCCATAAAAAATTTTCAACAATTCTTTCGGTAGGTGGCATACTTTGTGGTAACCTCCACCCCCCCTTTTAGGTCACCTTTGATTCTCAAGCATTCTTACCGGGAACCTCTTGGGAAGGGGTGAGCATCCTTACAAGGAACCTCTCACTCATGTGCATCATAAATAACCCAACCAAGTATACAATTCCAACATTTATCTCAATTTACAAGCATCTATCCAAAATTTTCAAAATATATCATATAACAATTCCACAACTAACAAAGAAAATACATGAGATCACAATAACATCATTTTTCTACCCAACATAA